CTCCCAATTTTTCAACCCAAATCCGAAATTAAATGATGAAATTAACCTTAGATTAATGGAATACAATCAAAAGGGGGTCAGGAATTATTACCCACTGATCTTCTCTTCAAAAACCCCCCACAGAGTCGCCTTCCCCCGAGCTTCAATTTGATTTTTCAAGTTATGAACTCAAACCCTCAATTTTTCATATTTCTGCCCAGCAATTTTCGCATCTGCGAGGGGTCTACAGCACCTGCGGTCCCGCTCTTGCGGTTCCTACTTTGCACCTACGGATTTTCATTAAACGGCCAGAATCCACACCTGCGACCCTCTACTCGCAGATGCGGTTCTGCTTCTATGTTCCTTGGGCCGCATATATGACCAGCTTCACTTGTGCCTTAGACCGCACCTACGGTTCCCAATCCGCTTCTGCGGCGTCGCACCTGTGGTCCCAACTCCGCAGGTGCGAAACCAACAGGTCCAACAACTTCAGCAATTGCCTAAGTCCAAATCAACTTTCGTTAACCATCCGAAACTCACCCAAGGCCCCCGTGACCTCAACCAAACATACCAACCAATCCTAAAACATCATATGAACTCATTCAAACCCTCAAATCACATCAAACAACGCTAAAACCACGAATCATCCTCCAATTCAAGCCTAATGAACTTGAAATCTCAAGGATTCTACAACTGATGCCGAAACCAACCAAACCATGTCCGATTGACCCCAAATTTTGCACACAAGTCACATACAACACTGCGGAACTATTTTAACTTTCGGAATCAGATTCCGACCCCGATATCAAAATCTCACTATCGATCCAAAAACTTCAAAAATTCAACTTTCTGCATTTCAGGTCTAAATAAGTTGTGGACCTCCAAAATACAATCCGGACATACCCCTAAGCCCGAAATCACCCAATAGAGCTAACAGAATTGATGGAATCCCATTCTGAGGTCGTCTTCACACTGTTCCGACTACAGTCCAAATTCTAAAGCTTAAGCTCTCATTTAGGGACTAAATGTCCCAAAACACTCTGAAACTCAAAAAGAATCTTTCCGGCAAATCATAATAGTAGAACAAACACGGGGAAAGCAGTTAATAGGGGATCGGGGCATTAATTCTCAAAACAATCGGCCGGGTCGTTACACTCTCAAACTCTAAAGCCTTAACTTCCAAGACCTCAATGGATAGAAAATGCGCAAGAAACATGTCTATAAACTCCTTCCAAGTTGTAGGAACCGCATTCTCCCCTCGGGACGCTTCCCATGTTTTATACCAAGTGTTAGCAACATTCTTCAGTTGGTACGTAGCAAGCTCTACTACCTTATTATTTCTAGCGTGCATCACTCAAAATATCTTTTGAACATCATCAATGAAGTTTTAAGGACCCTCATCCTTTTTGGACCCTTTGAAAACTGGAGGTTTCATATTCATGAATTCCCTGGACCTGGAACTATCTGTCTCATCAATAACACTTGTTCCCTGCCTTTGAGACTGAGTAGCGGCAATCTGGGTGAGCAACTAGATAGCTCCCCTAACATCCATATTTGAAACACTAGGCACTGAGCCCGATGCAACTCCTTAGGCTGGAGTGTTCTCTTCTTAAGTAGCATTAGTCGTTGCCCTACGGCTAGTAGATGAGGTCCTCTTGGTGTACTTTCTTTTTACAGGCATTTTCGGAGTTAGAAAGATTCCTGAAAGCGTAGTTCTAACTGTACGATCTAGAGTATAAAAGAAATGAAACATCCTAGATGTCTTGGTGGTCAAGTGTTTACACGTGTGGCGTGCACACACATATAAAAGTGACCCCACTGGGTACGGCTTCATAGACTCCCTAGAACTCTTGAACCTAGGCTCTGATACCAAGCTTTGTCATGCCCTGAACTATGGCCTGAGAGTAACACGGCACTTGGTGCCGGATTGCATGTGACCGAGCTAACCAACTGGATGGATGGATCAATATGTGGTATAACTGTAAGCTGAATATAAACATGCAACATGTTGATATATTAAAGAGACTGATTGAAATAATCATGAATGCGGAAAATACAGAAAATTCTGCTAGTATAAACGAGTAGCCAAAAAGGCTAACACATAAAAGCCTGCTAACATTTGACTAATTGGACTATAGTCTACGAAGCCTCTGAAGAATACTAAAATTCTAACTGTTTACCGGGACAAGGTTACCGGCATACCTTACTAACTGAAATACTATAAAGACTGAAAAAGAGGGATAATGCCCCAAAAGACTGGGGCTCACCAATAGCTGATACGAGATGTCCTAGCAAGCAAAATCATCAACCTGTAAATCGTTACCTACATAGTGAGATGCAGGCCCCGAGCAAAAGGGACATTAGTATATTTGAATTGCACTGGTATGTAAAATAACTGAAAGAAAGGATATAAATACTCCCTCTTTTGAATGATGAACTATCTATTTATCTGAATAAATAAACTATGGCCTCAGGCCTAATATATATGTACACAAGCTACAGCCTCGGGCCCTTCTGGCCTAAAGATGCATAAAGCAAAAACTACGGCCTCAGGCCTAAAGATGCGTAAAGCATAAACTATGGCCTCTGGCCCAAATACAGGTGTTCAAAATTTAAGGGTTTAGAATCAGGAACTGAGAATCATACTGCAATACATGATACTGAAATACTAAACCATGTTGAGTACTGGAATGCTGAATAGAACTAGACTAAGATATGTATTTATAATAAAGTAATTTGTTATGGCTGAGACTCATAGTATATTGAATGAATTATGAAATTATGCCATCTAAAGAATAGAAGTTCTACAACTATCATGGAGCTAAGGCATAATTACTTTTTAAGGAAACTCGTAATAGTGTAAAAGAATGAGACGTAGGGAGAATCATAAACATTCCAAATATAAAAGAGAGTTAGCCTCACATTGACCCTTATAAGCGTATCACAATGTTCGTTGCCTCTTTCAACGATACTCTATGGCAATACATATCAAGAGGAACCAATATTGGCACTAATACTCATATTTTACTCACTTAGGCATTTTATCAAATATTTGATGGGCATAAAGTTTCATAACCCTTATTAATGGTGTTTCTATACCCAACAACTCATTCTCTTACTCCTAGATAATTCTAAAATCTCAATACCATTCTTCATCACCCATAAGATAAATAACACCCTTAATCAATAATCAACAATCAACAACCCAAACCTATAATTTTTCGTGTTTTTCTATCAAACTCATCAACTCATATCTCACGAACGTAGAGTCTATAATCATTAATTCAATGCTATAATTAATTAGAGGGTAAAGATATTACCTTTTTGACGTTTAATCCTTTTGAATTCGAGTTTTAGAGTTTCTTTTCTCAACAATGATGTCTCAATAGAATATCTAATAATTTGAAGGGTTTACCCATGTTAATAAGGTGTTGGAGAATAGAAGTTAACTTAGAATTATTGTTATTAGAACTTACCTTGGATGATGGAGGGACTTTGGAGGAAGTTAGGTTCTTGAGAGCTTCCCTTTCTAGAGCAAGTTTTTGTGTTTTGGGGTGTGGGGGACGAGGTAGGGATCTTAAAATGACCCCGGGGTGAAAGCCCAACCGAGCACCTGAACACACATCAAGGGCAGCGGCACTGCCATAAGTGCGATGTCGTGCATGGGACATCTGGGCGGGCACCTGGGCGCGAATACTGTACATTATCCAATAAAATGCTCATAACTTTGTTCACAGATACCCGTTCAGGCTCCACAATACATTATTAAAAAGGTATTTCAAAGGGATATAACTTTCATGTTTTTCTTAATATATTTTCACAAAAGTGGACTGGAAGACAGACCTTCCATAAATTTAGTCGATTTTATCGAATCTTATGCACCTCACTCTCCGTCTTGATTTTAAAAGAACTATTTCCACCCATACTCATCCCGATAGGGCTCACATGTCTAAAATTTCATACGAATATTCATTTAACACATTCACACCCAATCTAAATTTACAGAGTGTTACATAAAATAAGCCCATATAATTTTGAACTCTTCTAATTAAGAAAATTGAGCAAATTCCAAGCAACTCTTTCTATTGGTCACGGCTAAAATGGTTGACGGTAAGAAAAAATCAAATACTAATTTATTTTAAGTGGGTCATGTACAGAAAGAGATTTAGTTGGTGGATCACTCTTTTAATTTTAAAGGTTTACCAAATGCCATAATTGAGTCACTTTTTGGCCCAATTACAAGGCCATGTGACCTACCGTGAGAGACAACATTAGTCTCTCTAATGCCGCCGTAAATTTGAAATCAGTGAGAAACTTACTATATTTTTTTTTTTTAAAACCACAAAATATCTAAACTTCTTGGCTCAAGTAAGCATGATTCAACCAAATAATCCTTTCAAAAATCTCTTCAATACAGACTAGAGGAGGGATTGTAAACCACTTGTAAGAATAAATTGAGGTTGCTGTCACCACCGGAGCACTCACCTCTTTAATTTTTATTATTATTTTAATTCACAAAATTAATTTCTACTTAAGAAAAATAGAGTTTTGCAGTGGATATCAAAACAAGTTAGTGAAACTAAAAACAGTTTTGTTCAACTTTAACGGGTTGAACCCGTTCAATTAATTCTGTTATCCAATATTTGAAACAAACATCAGTTCATATTTATAAACTAAAGATTAAATAATGATCTTAATCTTGAACTATGGTGGCTATGATATCAACTGTTAAATAATGAATTTGCAGTCATAGCACAGATTAAGACACAATTATATAAATATAAAATCATAATTTTAGAGTTAGAGTTTAAGGGAGCGTATCGTTAAACTCCTTGGATTCAGTAGCAACATGAAACAACAATAAAGTCTGAGACCAACTTCCATGATCCACTAGCTACGCGCTCTTACATCTCGGAGAATGTGAGTGATGGGATGTCTACCGTTACCACGTATTCAAAAGGCAGAATACGTTAGGGTTTCCTGATAGCTAGGGAAAGAGGGGTTGGTCTCGATTAATTATATCAAATGATTATAGACTCTAAGTTCGTGACAATATCATGCGCACTCAATATTGCCAAAGCACTGCCTAAACTGTGTCCAGTCACTGTTATGCTCATTTTCTCATTTGGATACTTTTCTACTAATCTTTTCACCTCGGTTAGTATCTGTTCTCTCGCTGAGAACTTGCAGTACCTACACAGTACGCAGCATATAATCAATGAGTTTAACTAAAAGTATAATGGTTCAGTGTTGAAAAATTACTTAAATATTGAACCTATCAAATTTATGTAATAGATCTTACCTGCAGTTCTCATCTTTGTCAGTATAGAGATCAAGAAACCCATATTCAACCTTGACATTAGGGTCAGGGCAAGGTATTTTGTTAGAAGAAATCGGATGGAGAAAGTCCATTAAATCAGCAATCCATTCCAAACGAGTCACAGTCCCTCTCCATGAAATCGTTATGTCACGGCGGCCTAAGCGTTTCGAGGTTTCGTCATTCGAAATAGCAACATAACCAATCCAATTTGCGTTTTTACTCCATACCTGTTGAAACATAATATATTAAAAAATATATTTCCTTTAACAGTTAAAATTTTAGATGAAACTCATCAACTCATATCTCATGAATGTAGAGTCTATAATCATTAACTCAATGCTATAATTAATTAGAGGGTGAAGATATTACCTTTTTGACGTTTAATCCTTTTGAATTCGAGTTTTAGAGTTTTTTTTCTCAACAATGATGTCTCAATAGAATATTTAATAATTTGAAGGGTTTACCCATGTTAATAAGGTGTTGGAGAATAGAAATTAACTTAGAATTATTATTAAAACTTACCTTGGATGATGGAGGGACCTCGGAGGAAGTTAGGTTCTTGAGAGTTTCCCTTTCTAGAGCAAATTTTTGTGTTTGGGTGTATCGGGGACGAGGTAGGGATCTTTAAATGACCCCGGGGTGCGCTGCCATGCAGCTGAAAGCCCAACCGCGCACCTGAACACACAGCAAGGGCAGCGACACTGCCATAAGTGCACTGCCGCGCACGGGACAGCTGGACGGGCAACTGGGCACGCATACTGTACATTATTCAGTAAAATGCTCATAACTTTGTTCACAAATATCCGTTCAGTCTCCACAATACATTATTAAAAAGGTATTTCAAAGGAATACAACTTTCATGTTTTAATTTTTCTTAAATTCCTAATATATTTTTACAAAACTAGACTGGAATACAGACCTTCCATAAATTTAGTCGATTTTATCGAATCTTATATATCTTACTCTCCGTCTTGATTTCAAAAGAACTATTTCCACCCATACTCATCCCGATAGGACTTCACATGTCTAAAATTTCATACGAATATTCATTTAACACATTTACACCCAATATAAATTTACAGAGTGTTACATAAAATAAGCCTATATAATTTTGAACTCTTCTAATTAAGAAAATTGAGCAAATTCCAAGAAACTCTTTCTACTGGTCACGGCTAAAATAGTTGAGGGTAAGAAAAAATCAAATACTAATTTATTTTAAGTGGGTCATGTATAATTCAAATAATCAACATGATAAATAAAATAAGTTAACAGAAAGAGATTTAGTTGGTGGGTCACTCTTTTAATTTTAAAGGTTTACCAAAGGCCATAATTGAGTCACTTTTTGGCCAAATTACAAGGCCATGTGACCTACCTTAAGAGACAACATTAGTCTCTCTAATGCCGCCGTAAATTTGAAGTCAGTGAGCAACTTACTATTTTTTTTTTTTTTTTGAAAACCACAAAATATCTAAATATGTTGGCTCAGGTAAGCATGATTCAACCAAATAATCCTTTCAGAATCTCTTCAATACAGACTAGAGGAGGGATTGTAAACCACTTGTAAGAATAAATTGCGGTTGTTGTCACCACCAGAGCACTCGCCTCTTTAATTTTTATTATTATTTTAATTCACAAAATTAATCTCCAACTTAAGAAAAATAGAGATTTCGCAGTGGATATCAAAACAAGTTAGTGAAATTAAAAACACTTTTGTTCAACTTTTATGGGTTGAACACGTTCAATTAATTCTGTTATCCAGCATTTGAAACGAACATCGGCTCATATTTATAAACTCAAAATTAAATAATGATCTCAATCTTGAACTATGGTGGCTTTGATATCAACTACTCCCTCCGTTTCAATTTATGTGAACCTATTTCCTTTTTAGTCCGTGCCAAAAAGAATGACTTCTTTCCTTATTTGGAAATAATTTACCTTTACACAAAGATTTATAGTCACACATAATATATGTGCCTCATTTTAGACCACAAGATCAAAAGTCTTCTCTCTTTTCTTAAACTCCGTGCCCAGTCAAATAGGTTCACATAAATTGAAACGGATGGAGTATTAGATAATGAATTTACAGTCATAGCAGAGATTAAGACACAATCATATAAATATAAAATCATAATCTTGAGTTAGAGTTTAAGGGAGCGTATCGTTAAACTCCTTGGATTCAGCAGCAACAGCAAACCACAATAAAGCCTGAGACCAAATTCCACGATCCACTAGCTACGCGCTCTCACAGCTCGGAGAACGTGAGTGATGGGACGTCTACCGTTACCATGTATTCAAGAGGCAGAATACACTAGAGTTTTCTAATAGCTAGGGAAAGAGGGGTTGGCCTCTATTTATAAAGAATGTCTACCTATCACAAGCCAACATTATTATTGTGCCTCACTCATCCATACACATAGTATTTAATATTAGGCCTTTTATTTACCCATTACTTGGGCCGGTCATTATCTTTTCAGGCTATGACCAATTAACGTAAGTCCAAATTCTAACATCATTCCCCATTTTAAAGGTTCCACAGGAGTTATGGTGTTTTTGGCGGATGACTAGATACACATGGTAAAGGCAATTAGTGAATTTGTTAAGTTGTGTTCTTCTTGTATTTATTTTTTTGTAATGTTCTTGCTTATATAGTTGTATTGGTTTTAGAAGCTTTTCCCCCAAAATTGCAAGTCTGCATTATAAAATGAATAAAATTCTAAAATTATAATATAATTAATAATCTTTTTTTTAAAAAAAAAAATTATCAAAATTCAGGAGACACATGTCCAGAAATTAGTAATATTTTATATACATAGAGAGAGAAGGAAACTAAAATAATTAAAATAAGAAGAGAAAAACACGAAATCATCACTCTATGGCCACTCGGGCAAAATAATGGCCCTACTTTATAAAAACTACCTTTTTTAGCCTTTATTAGCAATTTAATATCAACTTACAACCAAAACCCTAAAATTTCATTCTTTCTCCCCTCTTTCAGCTGCCTACTTCTCCCCCCTCCCCCCATCCCATCTTCTCCCTTCTTCAACCTTCTTTTCCCTCACTTCTTATCTTCTCCCTTTTTCACTCCTACAGTATATTTTTTTTTCTTTTTTTTCTCTTCCACTATAACGACACAAACACATATTTTTTTATATTTACGATCCTCCTTCACTTAGATGAAAAAATATTATCTTCTTTGTGTAATTTTCGTCCAAATTTTGATGGTGGTTGTCTTCTTCTTCGCTTTCTATCCACTTTCAGATATGGTATTGCATGATATTTTTTTGGATAAATTTTATGAGAAGATGAGAGATGAAGGAAATAAAATGGCCACTGCCGGAGAAAAACCTTGTTCTGCCAAGTTGGTTGTCCTCCGTTACTATCAATGCTCCTTTATTTATATATCGTGTAATTCTTGTATAATATGTGTATAATCATTGTATATACATTATACACTGATGATACATTTATTATACACATATTATACAAAATTGGACGTGAAAGATTATAGTGGCTACGGTGAGTATTAACAATATTATATAAAATGTATATAATTATATAAGCACATTTGTATGAAAGGTGTATTTATACTGATAGAATGTATATACGCTATTTATACACATTTCATGTTCATATAATTATTTTTTATATAAAGTATATATACAATGTATAATGTATATATGCAGTGTGTATATATATGCATATAAAGTGAATAATTAATACATCTTTTGTATATAAAGTGTATAATCTTTCTCTCACAATTACTCTCAGCGTTTTTTTTTCCCTTTTAGATGTTATTTCTTTAGGTTTAATCATTTGTTTATATAATATATAAAAACCTTATATACATCGTCTTTTGTTTTTTCTTCTTCTTATTCCTTCTTTAATATTTCTTCTTCTTTTTTGTAATAAATATTTATATAAATTCTCACTCTTTCGTTTTTTTTTCTTTTTTAGTTAATTCTTAAAAGTTGTATAAAAGTTGTAGTTTTGTATAAAAATTGTATATACAGTTATATAAAGTTGTATACATGGTACTTGTATATTAATTTTACATAGAATTTGTAAAGACACTGTTATACAATGTTAAAATATATGCAATGTGTACTGAGTTTGGCAGTGTGTCATTTGTGTATATTGAGTGTATCCGAGTGTGTATGTGTATCTAAAGTGTATACTAAGTGTATCCGCGTGTGTTTGTGCATCTAAAGTATATCTTGTATACATTGTTAAATGTACTTCTCTCTCTCATACACATATAATGTCGTTATTTATGTGTATTTTTTCTTCCTGAATTGAGTTTTTAAGTAACTTTTTCTCTTTTGAAAAATATTTTATTTTTTTGAATTCACCAGCTAAATGAGATTTCTAAGATTAGAAATCATTTGAAATACTTGACATGGGTTTAGAATGCGAATAGTGAGATTTTTATTTCACCGGCTAGCTATTATAATTAGTTTTTGGCTTCAAATTGGGGCATGTGCATCTACCCAGTTTTTGGGTCATCATTTAACTTATACCCGCTTTGTAAAAAAAATTGCAAGTGTACCCATTTTTTGAGTAACTTCAGACATGCGGGGCCTGAAGTAGCAATAATTTATTTCTGAAGTTTGAACTTCATAATTTTTTACCTGAAGTATGACCTTATCAAAGTAAAACTTTAGATATTTTCATTTGAAGTTTGGCCTGACTTGCAAAAGCAATCAAAAAAATATTAATTCGTAGTGCAAACTTCAGAGAAATTAGTTTGAAGCTCTTTAGTTTGTAGTGCAAACTTCAGACAAATTAGTCTGAAGTTCTTTAATTTATAGTGCAAACTTCAGATAAAATCAGCTTGTTATTTTGAACTTTAGATAATTTTTCTAGTCTGAAGTTCTTTAGTTTATAGTGCAAACTTCAGACAAAATCAGCTTGTTATTTTGAACTTCAGATAATTTTTTCTGGCATGATATTTGCAAACTTCAAACAAAATTTAACCTGGTAATGTCTGAAGTTTGGCCCTGCAATCCCAAACTTCAGTTGATGCTTCTTCAAGTTTTGACAATAAACTCTTTTCAGGCTCCATATTAAGCAAGAGATCATATTATTTTTAGATGGACCAAACCTTATTAGGGTGTCAACTGCTACACAAAAGTAGTAGAACTGATTTAAGGTCTCTACTGGCCAAAAGGCCTTCGGTTACCACAGTCTAAGTTGTTGCCATGGTAAACTCCCAAAATCTGACAGTATTTACTATAGAAACCAATTTTGCTCCCTCTGTGCATTTGAACCTTTATTACATTCAAGTCCTGTCACGATCCGGATTTCTCATCCTTGGGAGTGGTGATGGCGCCTCCTCGTGAAAGTTAGGCAACCCGAGTATTATAGATTCACTAACTCTTTTATTTAGCCCTTTTTAACAGTTTAAATCAACATGCGATCAACGATGAAATATTAACAATAACTAAATACATGTGGAAGACGTAATCTGATAACTTCGTCAAAAACAAGTACGACAATATCAAGTACAACTCTACCCGGAACCGATGTCACAATATCACGGACCGTCTACGAATACTACAAATAATTATCTGGAAAGAAAGATACAACCTGTCTCTGAAGTAAATGAAAACAGGATATAAAGATTGAAGAGAACGTCGGGGCCTACGGACGCCTGCAGGACTACCTCGGGATCTCTGACTAGACTGAAGGCAGCCACCCAAAGCTATGGTCCAAAAGCTGCCGCTCCTGGATCTGCACACAGTGCAGAGTGTAGTATCAGCACAACCG